ATTGCAAAGACTGCCGGACAGTCTTTAGCAGTCTGCTGTCTTCAGAGGTGATTCTGGAGCTCTGAAAGATGCACCTGTGTCTCCTTTCAGCTCCTTGAGAATCTGAGCATGCATATGTACCATTTTTTCCTCTTCTTTTAAAAGTAGTCTATTTTTACATTTATTTCCTCTGTATCTTCTCCCTTCCCCCTCTTCTCATCCTGATTCCATCTCAATATTTTGCAACCAGAACTGAATGGTAAGTTTGATCGCCACAGAAGCACTCTATTTGTAAAAGAAGGAGGGAAGGTGAAGACACAGGATGTTGGTAGATAGCAGAACATAGAAGCCTTATATCAGTTGTTGTTTTTTTTTTAGTAGGATGAGTTGTTACAAGCTAGGATTCAGTTCCAGGGTATGTGAACTGCCCTATAAGAAGAAATACTTTTCATCTTGACCCAGTCTGTTAGGACACAGAGCCACAGATAAGGTGTCAAGATGAGGTTGCAGCCCTAGCTCTGTCTATATTGATTCTTGGCAAGTCTCTTCATTGATGGAGGGCATTTTCTTCATTTCTCAAATAAGAGTCTTTAGATATTAAGGTCATCTGAAGCTTGACAGCGCAGCAGTGTGAAGATAGCTACCATTCACTGCTATCAGTGTACTGTTGGTATAGATGTGAAGACTGTTACTGGCCTCCCCTGACATTGAGTCTCTCCTTGGCCAAACTTCAGTCAGGCTTCAAACCTTCTCCTAGGTCCATCTGTGTATTCCTAGGTCTAGTTTTAGCAAAGAATCTCCCATTCTTGATACCCGATCACCCTTCATTTCTGATAAGCTTCCTCGTCCACCACCATGGTGTAACCAAAAAGCAGGTCAGTTGCTCCCTGCATGCAGAATCCAATGAACAAGAGTGAGGCCTGGTACAAAAATAGTGAATTTATTCTGAAGTGAGCTTGGGAAAGGGGCACAAAACTCCTTGCCTTTAAATGTACTGATTCACTTCTGGAGCAGAAAGCAGACACTTTTACAAGGTAATGGGGACAGTGAGCAAGGGCAGGGGTTTCTCCTGCAAGCCTGGTGACTTATCTACCAGACAGTAGAGTCAGCACCTTCCCAGGCAGAAATGAGTTGGAAAAGTGGTCAAGCTGGCATGCTTTCAATATGCCCTTAGGTGGATGGAAGCCTTGAGGCAATTCCTTGCTGGTGGCAGTTGCCCCTGCTGGAGGTGACAGCTCCCTGGCTGGTATGCTTTGGCCTGCAAATCCACTGTCAGCTCTGGAGGAGAGACCTATGTTGGAGGACAGAGTAGGAAGAACTTGCCCTGCAGGGAATGTCTGGTGAGGGGGAGGTGAAAGGTTATATTTGCATTTCTAAAGGGCTAGATAGGAAACAGGGAACTAAGGGAAAGGAGAGAGAAGAGAACATGCAAAATAATACTTAAAAAATGGGGGCACTCGGTTCAAATGTCCCTGGTGATGTCTGTGCACCCTGGCCTACCTTCAGCAAGAGTCCTGTGAGGTCAGTTTAGCCAGAATGCCCCTTACCCCGATGTTCCCCTTAGTAATTTTCCATTGACTGCCCCCCACCGTGTTCCTTGGCTAGGTATTTCCACTTGCCTATGCTGTACTCAGAATTGAGCCCAGTCTCTTCCCCAGCAGCCAGACCCCTGTGCAGCGGTCCCCATACCTTTCACAGTAGTCTTTAATAAAGTCATCCTTAACTTGCTTTAACGCATAGCATTGATTTTTTTTTCCTTTAATATCCCTTAGATTCTTACACCAAGAAACCTCCTTATTAAACATGGAATAAGTCCATGGTCTGTGCAAAGTCTAGTTCTTAGATGTGCATAATGTGTAACTTTTCATTGGCTTTTAAGAAGGGGTTTTAGACTTACACTTGGCTGCAATGCTTCTGATGTTCTGGGAGTTCACGTCAAGCCAAAGAATGAGGTTGCCACAGGAAGACTTGATTCAGGCAGACTGGCAACCAGCCCTCATTTTCACTTTTCTTTCTTTCTTTCTTTTTTTTTTTTTTTTTGCATTTTTGCACAAAATCCCCTTTCACTCCCACCCTCTGAGCAGACTGGCTGTTTTACTTTCCCTAGAGCAGTGGATGTGGTTAAAGGCTTTACTTTGCAGGCATTTACATGGTTCTGACAATGAAAATCAAGTCAGATCTTTGTGTCTGGACCCCCAGGACCCAGCTCAGTGCCTAGAAGGCAGCAACCCCCAATATTTCTATGTTGAATGCATGAGAGGTCAACAGTAAGGTCAAGTATGCATTCATGTCAATAATGAAGACCTGATTAGCAGATAAAATAAATACTTCAATAATCCTCAGAAAAAAAGAATAACAATCCTGGATTCATCACATTCTATTAAATTTTTATGATTAAAAAAATAGGTATTGTAAAAAAGGAAAATACAAAAAAATCCATAATTTCACCATCTAGTAAACATTTCTGTGTTTATATTTTATATATAATTCTTTTCAAAATAAAGATTTTCCTACATTTTTATTTAACATTGCATTGCTAATTCATTAAATATTTTTCAAGAAGCGTTTGTAGTGACTGTTGTTATTCTACCAAAGTATATTTATTAGAGGCAAATGCACCTCTATCCTAATTCTATACATGAAAAACACACTAAAAAAATGATGTGAACTGCCCAGCATTCCTTCCCCAGGAGGATTCTTGATCCCAGTGGCTTTTATTTGCCAATGTGGCACTTTCAGAGACTTACAGAAGAGACACGCAAACAATACAAATTATTGCCTCCCCCATGAGTGTGTCTCTAACTTAATAATGGCTCTTAAGCATGGCTGGTTTAAGTCACTCTCCCCTAATTTTATTCAGGAGCCTTTGTATGGCCTACCCCCACTAAAATACAAGGTTTCTGAAATCAGGGTCTTTTATTTCTCAGTGTTCTATTGGCTGCTTTTCCCACCACACATTCCTGCCCAGCATCTAGCAGACCACCTGAAGTTTTCACACCGGGAAGTCTTAGATCCTGTTTGGGAGGGTTTGAATTTCAAAAGCCCCATTAAAGCTCCCCATTTCCTTTGTAACCAACATTTGCCTCAAGGGTACTCAGGGACCAACTACAAAAAGCAGCCACTTGCTTCTTTAGAAAGACATTCCTCCAAGTGTAAGGAGAATTGCAAGAAAAAGAGAAATAAAGGGTAAGAAAGGAGCAAATGAAGTCATCTTTTCTCCTGATTCCTGGCTCCAAGAAGGCTGGTCAGGCTGCAGCAGCTCTTGGGAACATGTGTCAGCTGAGTGGACAACAGAGTGTGTGTACGGGGGTGGGTGGGCAGCAGCAGTCCCCACAGAATTTTGAGCTGGAAGAGGACAGTGAAGACCATTGGGAGCTGGTTTCTATCTCTCAATTAGATTTACTCTGATTTATCAGGTGATAGCCAGAAGCCAAACCTATCAGTTGTGGGACCCTCATGGGAGACACGGGGCGGGAGGGTTGCCCCTACTTCTGTCTCTGGGACCTTCCCATCCAGTACTCTGGGCCACCCTGTCTGTGGGCAGTAGCCTAGCCCTGCTGTGTTATATATTTAAATATCTACCAGCACCCTTGGTTGTCATTATCTTAAACAGTTTATAGAGATGAATGTCTACAGTATTAGTTAGGAATTTTGGTACGTTTTGCTAAATATAAACAACTTTGGTTTATCATATTCATACAATCAACCTACACTGATGAATAATACTTACAAACACTCCTATATTAGAGATGGAGTAGTTACATAGTAGTACAGGATAGAGAAATGAAGGGCCTTCGGTCCATTAAGACTTTCCCCCAGAATCTCTCTGGGACACTGCCTAGCACAGGCTCTCCCCAGCCAAAGCCTCATTCCATTCAGACGTGACCTGGGACATATCATTTCCCTTTGCGGTGCTTTATCAGACAGAGGCAGCCACAAAGAACTGGGCAAATATCAGTGCTAAACTGTGGCATGACTAATTTTTCTCTTATCCTGGCTGCTGAGCAAATGAACAAACCTTCCTCCTGTGTGTTTAAAAATATATAAAAGTTTGCCTTAAAATAAGCACCTCCCCACCCCCCACCCAAAGGCACTCAACCAGTGCATGGAAAAGTGTGTGGAATGTGCTCACATCCTGCGTAATTTAGGGAGAATTTTCTCGGAGTATTCTGTCCACAGGATGTAGCCTTGCCTGGCCTTGGGTTGATTAACTAAAAGGCCAGATGGAGAAACAGTCCCCAAATAGCACTGCATAACTTTCAACAATTCTTTAATTTTCTTGACTGTTGAGGCATAGCCAAATAAGAACTTACCTAGGAATCAGAAACAGCTGAAGAGCAATTGTAGAGGAGAAAAAACATACTGAAAGCATAGAGACAGCTCCTAGGCAAACTGCTTTCAAGAAACCCATTCTATTCCGGGTTTAACCAGCTGAGCCAATATTTGCTTCCGCCATAATATCTCAGTCACATATTCCCCTTTGCTGGTCCTTAGTTTCTCTCTCTGTGAAGATGACTATGCCCCATTTCTTCTTTTTTTTTCATTTATTTTTAGAAGCTCTTAGTGGAACATGTATTCAGAGATTTCACAGTGAGCTTCCACGTCTCCCATCGGGGCGGGAGAATTATTGACCCCAGTGGCTTTTATTTGCCAATGTGGCACTTTCAAAGACTTACAGAAGAGACAAGCAAACAACACAAATGGAGAGGATCCCAAATGGAAACATGCATGTATATTTGAAAACAGGTATGCAGACATGTGCAGATGGCCTTCTCCCTCTCCCCATGCACATACACAGAATCACATGACTCTATGAATACACATACAAGCAGTTGTGAACACACAAAAATATATGCATGGCTAACTATTTACACAGCCACACCTGAAATCAAATAGACCCACACCCACTCTTGAATATTCTCCATCAGTTTCCCACTATAAGGTTAGAGATCAAACTAACCTTGACCTCTTTCATACTCCCAGCCCTGTTCTTCACCAAGGTTATGACTGCAGTCATGGGATCCAAGGATCCAAACACACATTTATTGAGATGCTGTACCAGGTATGGGGAACATTGAGAATAAGAGAGTCCCTCCCGAGAGGGGCTTAGGTCTAATAGAGGAAGGAGATGCACACAAAGCTACAAAGCCACATAAGAAGTGCTCTAACGGAAGTGACCACAGGAAGTTGGATATATTTCTTTGATCCTGAGGTCTGGACAGAAGGCAATCCTCCTTCTTCCTTCAGAGGATACAATGGAGACCCAGAGAAATCTGCTCAGCACCAGTAAGCTGGAAGCCATGCTACCTTCCGCCCAATTCTCTGTAGGGACGCTGTGCTGGCTTCAGTCCCTGGGTCCTACTCCTAGTTCAGCCTCTCTTGCTTGCCCCTCAGGCACGTCTTGTGGTAGAAGCTGAGGAACAGAATGAGGAGGCTGAGGGCTTACAGGAGCACAGACATGTTGAACTCATCAGAGAAGGGGTACTCGATGAGGAGACTGTAGAAAGAGGAGGCAGCAGTGGCCACAAACTGACCCTGGGCAAAAGAAAGCGTGAGAGGAAAGAAAGGGAGAGCAGTCAGAAGCAGTGGACAGAAAGGAGCATGTGCTCTCTTGGGTCCCTCTGTGTTAAGGCTGAGGGCGGGCCTGCCACAGCACAGGAAGAGGAGAAGCAATGAAGCCTGTCAAAGCGCAGTTTTTCCCACACCATGGTCCCAAGAACCTTCTTGACACTTCTCCTGGTCCTGGTTGCCCCAATTTCCCTATCCAGCTATGTCATGGTGGCCTTGATGATAAACTCAGTCTATTCAGAGCCCCATAGGGGACACTTGAGGCTGTCATTACCATCTGGGGGGCAGTGGTGCTCCCAAAACTGCAAGGCATCCAGGCACTTGGAGGGTGCAATTGGTGATCACAGGATATTAATGCTTAGAGGTCATCTGGCCAAGGCCTTCATTTTATAGATGATGACATTGAGGCCTGAGCATGGAAGCCACTTGTTCAAAGTCCCACACTGTCCCAGTGAATTAGGGTTGGTTCCAGGATCTGATGGGACGACTACGGAGGCCCTTGCAAGTTGGGAAGCTAAGGAAGATCTAAGGATGAGAGGGCTTGTTTGTGGGCAGATGCCAAGTCACTGGTATAGAATGGCAGGCCAAGAGTAGAACCAAGGGCTCAGCCGAGGACCCTGGACCCAATAGGGTTTCCTTACCAGCTGTAGTGTGGTAAGACATCGTTTCCACCAGAGGTAGGGCCACATAGGAAGCCACAGCCTGGCCAGTCCATAATACACGTACATGAAGACATGGACCAAAGAATTAAGCATTCCTATGAAGAAGTCTGCAGAGTGGGGTGGGGAGAAAAAGGAAAATAAGTGTGACTGGGCTTAACTGTGATTTGGGAGTTCTCTTTGATGTTTCGATCCTCCAAGCTGCAGGGAGCACCTCTGCGATCTCTATAGAGAAAATCCTTCGAAAGACCCTATCCTGCAGAGGTCCACCATGAGCCCTCTGAGGTCGTGATGATGGAGGGATGGAGTTATCGAGGTGCTAAATGAGAGCGTTTCTACTCCCTTTGTACTCTCTGGGATGGTGGCTATGTGCATCTCCCAGCAGCCACCTCTCCATCCCAGAGACAGGTAGCCCAGGAGCTCTGAGAAGCCACAGGAACAAATGGGAGCAGAGGCCTGGTCTCATGGCCTCAGAAAAGGGAAAAGTTAGAGACCAAACATGATATTCCAGGGACGCAGGTCTCCTGAGCTGGGACTCAGCCCAGCAGACCTGCCTTTACAAGGGCCTGGGGCAGGGCTGTCCACGGCACGCATCATTTACCTGGCCGCCTGCTGCATATTCGACTCCAGACCAACCATCACAGGGCATGGCGCCATGATGGTAGAGTTGCAGAAAGGTGGGCTGCTTTGCCTTCATTCATAAAGTAAAGAACACCTGGAGAGGAGGAAGAGATGATGACATCAACTCTGGAGGTCTCCTTTCTCCAGACCCTTCTCCTGGGGCCTCAGTTATCCCTTAGAGCGGGACACGGTGATTCTACCTTTTTTACTGAAGGAGAGACTGAAACGAAAGGTAAATAACAGCAATCGAACACCAATTTTTGACCTACTATGTCCTTTAATTGAGGCTTTTGAAATTCAAACCCTCCCAATCGGGATCTAAGGTCTCATAGTGTGAAAGCTTCAGGAGGTCCAGATGCTGGGCAGGGATGTGTGGTGGGCAGAGGAGGGAAGAGAACATGATTCTACTTTATGCGTATAAAATAATCACTTAAACACCACATAATTGTATGCAGTTCATACTCCTGTTACTTCCATTTTACAGAAAAAAACAAAAACAAAAAATACTGAGGCACAGAAAGGTTAAGCAACTTGACCAAAGGCACGCAGCTAATAGGTGGTCTAACTGGGATCGGAACAGTCTGGCTTCAGAGACTGGGTTCTTCCCAGTGGCTGCTCCTTGTCCCCCAGGGCGCTGGGGTAAGAATTCAGATGTTGAATGCTCAGCCCAAGATCCAGACACCCACACAACACATTCCCATGTGTTCTCTGCTCAGACCATTTTGGCAAGAGACTGAGTAGAAAGAGCCCCTCTCTTCATCACCAGCCACACCAACATTATGTTCTTGTCTCACCCTGCTTAATTCCACAAGGCCCCTGGCCTCACCAGCAAGGCCTCTTCTCAGTAACATGGAAGGATGGCTTTTTCTGTCTGATGATCCTTGCTATATCATGTCAGTTTTAAAATTTGTTTAACTTTCCATTTTGATCTTACCTGGAACCTGGATAGTAAGGTGGCAAATGCCTACTTCTGCTTCTGTGGATAGGGAGCAGGGAGCATGGGAGCCGGCAGAGGGGGACATTACCTCAGTGGCTGAGCATCCTTCCCCCGCCAGGTACTGGACCAAGGCTTTACTCTGAAATTAATCTCTGGCACAGCAGCCGGGGCAAATCCAGAGAGCATTCTTGCTGGGTGAGTCAGACACCACCCCAGATTTGGCTGACAGATACACAGGAGCCCGTGGGTCCCAGATCTCACCTGTCATGCAATTCAACAGCCTTCAGAAAGCGGCACCAGCAGCACACGCTCGCCATCTGCTGGGCAGAAAGGGGAAGTTCATCAGACTGCAGTCCTGCTGGTGCCACAGCTCGTCCTTGCTCGTCTGGGTTCAGCCTCGAATCCTCACTGTTCTATGCACCGCTGATTACACAGTCCTACCTGTCTGCAGGTAGATGCCTGTTAGCACAGGAAAGAAGGGGAGAAGCTACTGGAGTGACCACAGAAGGACTCTCCCAATGTGCCCCAGCCCAGAACCTTGTGATCTAATGAGCATGTGGGCATTTTGTTCATTGAAAAGCAGATTCTTAATCGGTGTGCATGGAGTGGAACATGAGATTCTGCATTTCCCACAAGCTCCCAGATGATGCTGATGCTGTCAGCCCCAGGATCATACTTTGAGTCACAGGACTTCAGCCCATCACCAACATCCAGTGACTCAACATACATATCACCTGGTGACAAGCCTCAGCTACCTGGTGACAAGCCTCAGCTAGAGTCTTTTGTTACAAGGAAGGTTTTTTTTTCTGCTTCCAGGGGAAACGGAGAACAGCTAACAGTGATGAAGCTACCACTTAGCTACCACTCAATGTGTGCTGCCCCGTGCTAAACACTTTCATATATGATCTATCATATACTATCTGATTCCATCTTCTTTCAATCATTTCCCTTTAGAAAATAGGTATTATCATCTCAATTTTGTAGGTAAGAGAATTGAGTCCCAGAAAAGTTAGGTGTGCCACCCACAATCACACAGCAAGGAAATGACAGAGCTGAGATCCAACCCAAGGTCCGAGGTCATCCGACTCCAAAGCCTGCACATAACCAGCCAGTCCCCTGCCTCTCATCGAAAGGCTCAGGCGACACCTCCTTGACCTCAGATTGTTATGAAGTTCTCCCTCCTAACCTTCTGCTTACCTTCTGCTCCCTGCCATACCCTCATTCCACACTCGCTCCAGCCGTAGTCCACTGGCTGACGGAAGTAGCTGCAGTTAGCCAGGAGCAGGGTGGCCATGACCTGGGAGGAAAAGGAAAGAGGAAAAGACCAAGTCAGAAAGCTTGCTCCCGCCATGGTGAGCCCCGGCAGGCTCGGACTCCTGAACACCACCACCCAGTGCAACCTTTGCTGACACTTGGTCAACATCTGCTAATAAAAGAAACTCCATGCGGTGGCCAGATCAGAGGCACCAACGTGCATACATCTTTCTAGTCTCTAATTTTTTAATGTGGGCAAATATAGACTACAAACCCACCCTGGGAGCCTACTATGCCTGCAAGCCTAAGATAGGTGCCGAAGACACCAAGGCGGTCCACACGTCAGTCCTGCCCCAAGGAGCTCCAAACCTGGCTGACAATGTAGAAAAAAATCCTAACCTTACAGGTTGGCACTAGAGGAAGAGTAGAAAAAAGCAGGTGTTGCAGGAGTTGGAACAAAGAATAAGGAGGCTTTGGGCAGACAGAGGGGAGGGAGTGTCAGTTTCATGCCAGGACAAGAGTATGTGGTACCTGGACCTGGGGGTCTAGCTAGGGGATTAGCAGGACTGGTGTGGAAGCACTGACCAAAGGAGAAGGGGCCACAGAATTGGAGAGACATGAGAATTGTGAATAAAGGGTCTTGAACGCTATTGTAAGGTGCTTGAATTTTATCGCTTGTTGATTTCTTTGACAATAATGTGTTGAATGGGACTAAGCACCATGCTGGGCACTGTTCTGAGCACTGGATCACATTGATAAAACCAAGCAGATGCAGACCTTGGGGGACTTGGCATTCTGGCCATATATGCAAAAGGACATGCGGAGGCTTCTGAGCAAGAAGCTGACCGTGGGCATGGCAGAGCTCGCGAGGGATGGGGTGGCAGGAGAGTGCCTGGTTGCCGTAATTAAGTGACAAATTCTCTACGGCATGCCTTAGGCCTCATGAGTTATTGGTATCCCTCACGTGCTGTCAGATGTTATGCTGGGTCTGTCTTTAAACAAATAAGACATGGGTCCTGCCTTTGAATCACTTGCCATGTGGGAGGGGAGAAAGACACATATGAAAGTGGTGACACAGCCGGAGAAAGACCACAGTCAGCGGGGGTCAGTATATCCTTAACAGGCTCCTAAGGCAGAGGAGCTGTCTGCAGGGTTTGCCAATTCCTATGGTGTAAATATTCCCACCATGGTGGAGGGGCTTCAAGTTGCTTCACACAAAGTCACTGAACGTGAAGTTGCAGGGAGATGCACACCCGGTGCTCACCTGCAGCTGGAGCGGCTCCAGCCCACCTCAGAGAACCAGGACTGCACCAAGAGGTGGGAACAGCTAAACAAGGAAACAACCTGGCCCTAGAGGAGTCAGGGAAGGCATCCTGTGAAGCGACAACCGACCTGAATCCAAAGGATGTGCAAGAATTTGTCAGGAGACTGGGGGACAAGAGCAGTTCTGGGAGAGAATCAGCGATGTGCCCAGGCCTGAAGACTTGCTGAGCATGGCTGTACAGGCTGGTGAGCAGGCCTGTGCGGGACTAGGGTGGTGTGCAGGGCTGCTGAAAGCGTGTAGAGGGAGACAAGGCAGAGAGGAAGGCAGGGCCAGAGAGGACTCCGGAGGGCTTCGTGTGCCCAGGAGGGGAGTTTAGCCTCAGCCTCTGCGGGATGGGAAGCATCAGAGGCTCCTAGCAAGCAGTGGCACCATCCTGCCTGTTCTTGGCGTAGTTTATTGTGTCAGTAGGGTGGAGGATACACTGTGGCTGAGCCATTAGAAAGGAAGAGAGGAAGAGGAGTTGGAAGAGGTGTGGCCGTGTGGACCTGCTTCTTCCGTCTCTTCCCTGCTAGCTCACCAACAGGTGAGAGAGATGGAGGAGGAGGCTGCAAGCTGTGCGGCCAGGGTGGCTGGTTTGCACCCTGCCTCTGTGCCTTGCCACCTGCTAAGTTATTTAACCCTTCTGTGCCTCAAACAGTGCTGTCATGAGGATCAGATGAGCCTATCCTCCTAAAGTGCCTACACCAATGCTTGCCCTGTAATCAGCATGGGAAAACATCTGTGATGATCATTACCACCTTCTCTGAAAAGCTTGTCCTGACACCCTTACCCCTGGCCCAGAGACCGGCTTGCTGCCCCATCCTGCCTGCCCCTGGTGTATGATGCATCCTTTCTGTTGCCCACTCAACACGCAATGCCCACACCTGTCTCCCCTCTAGACCGTGAGCCTCTGAAGGACAAGAAGTCCTGATCTAGCAGTGATTCTGCAGGCCACAGCACAACCTGGCATGAAGCATATACTTGATGTACACCTGCTGAATGACTTTTTGCAACGTCTGGAAGAAAAACCAGATTTGGGGATCAGAAAACCAGGCAGAGGTTAACAGAGCTCAGGTAGAAACAGGAGATGGCCCATACCAGGTGGGAGGGATAAGGAATTCCACTCTGGCTTGCCGCTGACCTGCACTTTTTCATGTAAGGAAATGGAAAGTGGGAGTTTGTAACAGGGATTGAGCAGCCAAAGACGGCACAGAATCCCAGCTCCTGCATGTGACCCCATCGAGGAGGCTTTTCAATCTGCTATGTACGAATATTATCATTCTATTCATCCCTCGGTCACCCCTCCAAAAAAGATCTTAGAACTCTCAGGGACCCCCGTCCACCAGCCTTACCTCCCAGACGTACCCTGAGAGATCGACCAGGCCCAGGTTGTAGACAGCCAGGACTGTCCCAGCCCCAGAAACTCCTGGTGGGACACGAAGCAAGGCCTGATGCCACCAGGAGAAGACAGAAAACTAGGAGGTGGGTGGCATGGAGTGGCAGTGCACCAGGAGCCAGGAATCCATCCTCGAGCCTAGACAAGCAGAGGAGAAGTGACCAGCGGGCCGGCCACACTGCCCATGCGCCCCTAATCCTCCCCCACAGGAGCTCCCAAGGCCTTGTCAATCCAGCTCTTGTGCCCAAAAAGTCTAACACAGGCTGGCTGAGTAAACGGATGGAAGCTCCCACTGGATGGCATTCTCTCCTGCTTCTGTTTTTTAAGGGCCAGGGGTATTTATTCCAGGGCTTTTCCAGGGCACTGGCCCTTGTGAGCACCTATAAGTAGAAGCCAGATTTGGGTCTTGTCCAAACCACCACCTTGTCTGCTTCCCCTTTCTCTCCCCGACAAACCGTTGACTGAGAGTCTCCAAGCTGAAGTTCCTCAGTCTCTCCCATCTGACCCCCAGCTATGTTGCCCCAGCACTCCTGCACTGGGACACTGCACCACCACCTACCATGCACTTTGGGGAGCCTCCATTGGCCATCACTTCGCGCCAATCGTCACACCTTTTGCTGGTCTACTTGGGATTTCCAGCCCCTGGCAGTGGCCTCCAGATTGCAGGGTACAAGAGACACGGATGTGGCTACTTGGCAGCAAGAGGGGGACCGAGGGGCAGAGAGGCACAAAGGTCTCCCCTTTCGGCTTTACAGTGCCCGCCCTCCTAAGCATCCCTGGCTCCTCCCACTTCTCATGGGCTCAGCCACACCCAGTCCTCCACAGCTTGACTTACACCTCTGGCTTCTCCCAGGCTCCTCTGGGCAGCGAACGAAGTGGCTCTGGCTGCTCCGGTGTTGTCAGCTGGTGGTGGGTTTGAGCGAAGAGTCCTCTGGGCTCCAGGGTGCAGGGCACGACTCATGGGCAACGCCACCCTCCCAGAAACTCTCTACTGCTGGGCTCTGATCCTTTGTTGACCCCAGCCCCAGCCCCTACACACCCACACATACACACAGGCACTCACACGTATGCATGCACACATGCACACACACACACACGCACACACACATACACACACACACAATTGTTGACAACTGGGAGCTGAGGCTGCCGTCCAGGCCGTGGCTGGGCTCCCTGACACTTTCATGGCCCAAGGGAGAAAGAGAACAAGAGGCAGCAGGGGTGGGAGGAGAGCACGCAGAGGGCAAAGGACGATGGTAGCACCTCCAGAGAGGGGTGGGGAGAAACAGAGATTGGCAGCACCCAGCACTAGGCAGACACCCACATCCTCAGAGCATCCCCACGGCCTGCGGCTCACACTCATCCTTCAGAGCAGGGACCACCCTATCGGACACTTGGACAGGCATGTGGAGGACATGTGCCTCTCCTGTCTCCACCAGGGTAGGCCACTCCTCTTGTCTCAGAGTTCAAACTTCCTCTGCCATCCTTCGTTCCCACTGTTAAGGAGTAAGTGCTTCTCTTTCTTAATATGCTAAGTCCACACCCCTCCTCTAGCTCCCCCTCACTAATAGGCTGAGGAGTATGGGGAATTGGAAATCCCAGATACAGGCAGCCCTCTTCCCCCATCCTGCCTCTATCCACCTGTGCCGGATGAGAAGCGATTACAATGGCCGTTCACCCAAATAACCTCTCTTAGGCACACCCTTTCCCTCTTTATGAGATGCAGGAAAAGAACCAACTTTGGAAGCCAGATCCCTGAAGGAAGAGGCCCGGCAGCCCACACCCCGAGTCTTGCTCCACAGTGATTCAAGGGCAGCTCCCAGAACCAGGCTCTTTAGAATAGAGTGCCCCACTTTCTTCTTCTGACAAGATGGCACACTGTGGTCTTGTGAAGGCTCATAAAGAACCATGTCTGTGTAAGCCCCACATTGTCCATGCTCACAGATAAGAGGGTTAAGCGCTTCGAAGAACTAGAAGAGGTAAAGGTACCTTCAGAAGCATGGCAGGCCACACACACTCGTTACATGCATGCACATTTGCACATGATGCCAAAGGCCCTCATTTTGCCCTGTCCTGGACTCTATTGGGAAAGATTCCCAGCTGGTTTCAGTTAGAAGACAAGCCCTCCTACATTGTCATATGTCATTTTCCATAAATCAAGTTGAAATTATTCCACTGGGGCTTCAAGGCTGCCCGTACTCTGGCTAGGCCATCCCCTCGAGCCCCTCTGACCTTCTGGCAGAAGCAGAGATCAATGTGCTGCTCTTGCCACCTCCATGAATCCCTTCTCCCTGCCCTCTCTGGCATGCACATGCCCATGTCCACTTCTTTGGTCTGTCCGCGATTCCTTCTCCACTGACTGTTCAAACCCAACCATCAACCTTGCTGACCCGAAGCCCCTCCTCGGCCACAAAGCCCCCCACTCCTCTTCCCAACTGCCCACAGGACTAGCGCTGTCTGTACCTAGAGTGTGGCCTGTAAGTTTGGTATTCCAGAGTAAATGGCAAACTCCCTGCAGGACATGACCTCACACTGCACTTAACAGATGGATGGAAACATCAGGAAAACCCCAGGGTGATGTGTCAGGAAGATAAAAACCTTCTAGCTCAAAGCTTTGGCCATCACTCTGCTGGTAACTCTCCCCTGTGTCTTCATAAAACTGTCCCCTCATGTGTAGACAGCACCTTAAAATTGATATGGGAAACTCTTGGGAAGTCTCCTATATAGCACCTGAGACGCTGTGGTGCCACCTTATCCCCCAGAAGTAGATCAGATCAACAGAATGGGGCTATGAATTTTAGGCCAGCTGCATCATAGCCAAGTGCTCTTTCTCAGAGCTCAGCCATATCACATAGCCACTGTAAAGGAGGAGGCCATGGACCCCCTGCGACCACCCCCTATTAAACAACCTTTGGGCTTATAGATCATATGGATTAGGGAGAAGTTTATCTACCCACATCCTGCAGCTGTAAAATAAGATCATGGCTGCATGCTACCGTAGAGTCCTTCTGCCCGAGCAAAACAATGAAAGGACTCCTAACCTCATTCCTCCCCCTGCTCAACCCACCATGCCCATAGAACCTCAGCTGCAGTCGGTGGGGAAAGTCCTCAGCCACCTGCCCCCACTGCCAGGTGAGCTGAGCCATCCTGAGGCCCTGAGAGCCAACCTGTCCCACCTGAGAGCAGAGGACTGGAAACTGTGTGGGCAAAAACTGACATTGCGGAAATAGTGTCTTTATATACCCACAGCTAACGACGGCTGACATTTATTCCCTTACTGTGCGCTGAACACTATTCTAAATGCCATACATATACTAACACATTTTCTCTTCACGATGATCCCATGAGGTAGGTACTGTCAGCACCCATTTCTGCAGATGAGAAAACTGGCACAGAGAGGTTAAATTGCTTGTCCAGTATCACACAGCAAATAAGTAGCAGGGCCAGGATTCAAACCCAGGCAGTTTGGTTTGGAGCCCAGACACTTAGAAGGGCACCGTACTATCTCCTCAGTCTCTTGGTGGATCATGGTTTGTTTTATTGGGATGAAAAGAGCTAAGAGTGGTCTTGATGAACAAGAAGAGGTAGCCCCAATTTATCCGATTCAAAATTACAGTTTCCCTACTGGCTCCCACAAGAATCCTGTGCAAGCTGCAATAAAAACCAACATTCTTTCCTCTCTCCTTTCATTCTTCTATTGCTTCCCTCCTTCCCTCCCTCCCTCCCTCTTTCCTTTCTGATGTCCATCCTTTTGCCTAGATTGGACAAGGGGTTTTCAGACGCTTGGGATTCAGAGCAAAGGTGACTCATCAGGCCTCACCAGTCTCTGCGTGGGGAAAGAGGCCCTAAGAAAATGATCAGCCCCTCTCCCCCTGAAGCAATGACCCACCCACCCTTTTCTCTGAGCTTGTGTAAGATTTTATTGAACCAGAAGAGCATCATTGCTTGTTATAAGACATTGAACATGACTGCGATAGATGGCAAAGATGAAGCTGGATAATTTGGACAGCAATACTTTAGTATACACTGGCAGGAGTGCTGGCCTCCCCGGCCATCGTCAGCAAGGGATGTAGCAGTCATAATGGGGTCTTTTCTTTCTCCACTGGAGGGGGCCTTATCCTCCATAGGTTCTCTCCATCAGGACCCAGGGCGATATATTTCTCACTGTTAAAACTAGGAAGGGCCATACCTCTCAGGACCAAATTAGTAGGCTTTCAGGTCATGATAGAGAGATTTTCAGGGGCTAATCTCATCTTTAATTTTATTATATATTTTACACATTATGTTCTTCTGACATAATTTAGTTTATCTTTCTGTTTCATTATTATTGTAAGTAGCCTAGAAATATTTACTGAGTGCCATGCAGAGGTTGTCAACATAAATAAATATGTATGTATTAAAGCACTTTTCAAGCATCTAACTATTGCCGTGGATTAAATGGTTTATGCAGAGTCACAACCAGGGAAAGGAGTGAAGCCAGGTCAATGCACAGGTCACCCACCCTATGACACAGCCTCTAATACCTGCCTCTGTGCACAGTCAGTGCACACTTGCTTCTGCTAATTTCGCAAGAGTCCCTTGACCCCATGTCAGTCTAGTCTCTTTAAGCTGAAACACATTTCTCAGCCACAGCTCTGGGCAGCTATTTCCCAAACTGAAGAACTTATTCCTGAATGTCATCTTCCAGAAGACACGATGAAAATAAAATGTATATGTGCAAGTGTGTGTATGTGTACACATTCCTGTGTATGTTAACACAATGTCCTTCAAATGACTTCTCTATTTATGTCTCTGTTTACTTTGATCAATTCTACTTGCCCCACTCATGCCCATTTCTGTCTACTTTTCTTGCCTGTGTTCTCCCTTTCCTTGAAAAGCAGCAGCAATGAGCACTAGAGGAAGATCAGGTCTAACAGGAAACAAATGAGCAGTACTGTACAGCCACTACTGGAGAGAAAAGAGTGAGGAGAGCAAAAACCCAGTATTACCAGCAAAGGAAAGTCATTCTCTTTGGTAGCGGAGTTAAGGAAGGAGGAGGAGCTGTGCAATGGTGTGATGGGGAGAGGTGTTTTATTAACAGGATATCTCAACATGCATTGAGGTACCTTGTCTGCCAGTCAGCCTAGCTGCTCCCTGGACCCAAGGAAACCTGACATGGTGCATGTCCCCACAGTCCTTCAGGCTGTCCTTCCCCTGTGGTAGGGAGAAGCAGCCCCAGGCTTTGCAGGTCAAAATTGGCAAACAGAGAGCTCAGTCCTGGCCTCATTTCTTATTTTGCCCCTAGATGCTCCCAGCTCTTGATGCATCGTGGGGACCGTACAGGGGACAGGCTGCATCCCTGTGGCCGCTGGCAGCCTTCTCCTCTCCAATCAGGCTGGGAAGAGAGCTAATTGTAAGAATCGCTCACAGGTGCCTTGGCCGGCACTCCTGCCAGCCTCATGGATGCAATAATGGGTCTTTGTGCAGTGTGGGCCATTACTAACAAGGGTAACTAAATCATTCATTTCATTAGCAACGGGGTTTGGCAGATAATTGTGCAAGAGGCAATTATCAGTGATGCATATTCCAGGAAGGAGTGTGGTTCACTGATTTTCAACAGAGCTGCCAGGAGAAATATGAGACAAGGTTTAAACCACCACTGGGCCCTCACCCCTAGGATAGCCACTCTTTAAAGCCTGTGGCTTTATGGCTTTATGGTCAGAACTGAAGACAGTCAGAGAGAGAAAGAGAGAGAGAGAGAATGAATTTGCTTCTTGCACAAAGATTCCTTAGGTGACCTTGACTTATCTTCTATGTAACAAAATGAGGCTCCAAATTTCATCATTCTCCATCTCTGCCTCACCACAGATCTGGCCTTCATTAGCCCACCACAGTAGTCTTCCTAAAACTCTAATTTTTGCCATGTTAGAAGATGGAAAAAATTCATCTATGGGTTTCAAGTTCAGCTCAGACTAGTACCAAGATCCTTCTGAAAGAATCAACAGATGAAAAGGTAAACAAAAGGTGCTGTATGCATACAATGGACTATTACTCAGTTGTAGAAAAGAGTGAAGTACTGATATAGGCTGCAACATGGATGAACTGTAAGAAGTTAAATGAAAGAAGCCACGCACACAAGACAGCATATTGCATGACTCCATGTGTGAGAAATGTCCAGAATAGGAAAATCTATAGACACAAAAAGATGAGTGGTTGTCAGTGCCCCAGGGCAGAAGGGAGGGAATTAAGAGTGATTGCCAATGGGTGTGAGGTTTTGTGTGTGTGTGGTGATAAAAATGTTCTGGAATTAGATAATGATGATAGTCACATAATTCTGTTAATGTACTAAAACCACTGAATTATACAGTTTAAACAGGTGGATTTTACAGTATGTGAATTCAAAAAACAATCTTTTCTGAACTCAAGGCAGAGGGTCAGGTGGCACATGCCAAGTGCTGGACTTGTGGGGACAGGGACAGTTTTCGCTGGCACTGGGCTGTTGGCACAGCCCTGGAACAGGACTAAACAGCCTCCACTGAGATTCACGTCATGTTCCCTTCAAGGAGTTCTTTGAGCCCATTCACAAAACCAGTGCGTGATGCAAGTTAGGGTAACAAAAAAGTACCCGTTCTTTCTAACAGTTCTCCTGTTCGTTAGATGATCAAATCAGCTCCAAATTCTGAACAACCCTTCCCTCCATGCCTGTTCTGATTTGCAAAGGAAGGTTCTGATGCATTCAAGAGCATTGCAGTGTGGAGTGGCAGCTTTTCTCCAACAGCAGGACCTCAAACATGTGCCCCATGAGATGTTTGTTCATTTATGACCAACACTCACTCCCTCATTTCCAAATCCTGTCCTCCCACCTGACTAATCACTTGTCCAGAACTAAGATTTTTTTCAAGCATGAATTCCTATGCTCAACTTTGTAAGCTTTATAGTGTTGCATAAATGTTATTTAGTATATCTGAAACTCTGCTGTTATTATTCTCAAGATACATTTAATGCAAGAACAAAGACATACACCATTAGGGACTGTTGCTTTGAGCTACAGGGAAGAGGCATTTACAAAGGAGTAAAAGGTGTTTTAGTGACTCCTGTGAGTAATCATAGATATATTTGCTATATCATTGGTCATATTTCTCCAGTCATTTCCTGAGTGCCTCTTCGATTCTGCTTCTCCATCTAGAACGTAGGGGAAAACACCCACTGATAGAATTCTTTTGCTTTTCTTTCTTTCTTTTTTTTTTTTTTTTTTTTTTTTTTGAGACAGAGTGTCCCTGTGTCACCCTGGCTGGAGGTGCAGCCATGTGATCTCAGTTCACTCCTGATCTCAGTTGACCTCCCAGGCTCAGGTGATCCTCCCACCTCAGCCTCCGGAGTAACTGGGGCTATTTTTTTTTTCTTTTTTTTTTTTTTTTTTTTTTTTTTGTAGAAACGGAGTTTTTCCCTGTTGCCCAGGTTGGTCTTGAACTTCATTCAAGCAATGTGCTGGACTCTGTACCCCAAAGTACTGGGATTGCAGGTGTGAGCAGACACTGTGCCTGGCCAGCAGAATTCCTAAGGGATCTTACTTCCTTATTCCATTACTGCCTTTTCAAAGTCAATAAATAGTTCTGATTATTATTGTCTTCTCTTCCCTATTTATTTTATTTATTCTTGTTTCAGTTTACTGTTTACGGAACTGAATTGGGAAGGGAACGAAAGTCAATAAAGCCAATTTCCTGTTTCTGAATGTTTCACAAGACCAGTCTGGGAAAGGAAGAAATTCAACATCTTGGGGCAAAGTTTGGGCTTGTCTGTGGAGTTGGGGGTCCCTGCAGCATCAACTAGTGGGAAGGAAACTGGGACAGGGATAGGAAAGAAGGATGGGCTGGAGTAGTGGGGCTCCTGGGCTCTGGCACCAGCTTGGCCTCTCACTGCACAGCAAGGAAGATCATTTTTCTGGGCCTCAGTGCCTTTACCTGTGAAATAAAGTATCTAGAACAGGGTCCTGGTCTAGGTTCTCTAGGTTGCATGACCTCCAGGCCATTACTGTATCATTTCACCACAGTAACATTGTTTACTCCATATCTACACCCAAAAGTTGGGCTTTTCAGAGCCACTGTGAATGGTAAGCAAAGCAGTTAATTACCAGTAAGTACGCTGTCTCTGGAGTTAGTACAGGGCTTAACGCTGAGATTTGTTGGGGAATTATGGGGGAGGTCAAATGATCTCATCTTCATTGAGTTCCTCTCTGAGTAGCTCCCAGCTCCCAGTTGCTCTGACGCATTCGCCCTGACACAGGTCTGTTGGCCATATGCATAGAGGGCACGGTGGATGGGGATAGGATGCCAAGGCAGGTGGATGTGGACTGGGGCTGCCAGGGCTTGGTCAGACTGCCAGGGGTGAAGCCAGAAAACCCAAGTCCACAGAGGTCAGGGGTTCAAGGTGGAATAATGTCACAGGATCCTTGCAAGCGAGGTCTGCATCTTCATTCTCTTGTGGTTAATGCCAGGGCTGGGCTGGGAAGAGAGGGTCTGCCTTTTAGCACTGCTGTTGAGGGCAGAGACCAGGGCATCCAGTCAGAAAAGCTCTCTGGCACTACAAATGTTCACATCTGTGACCCACATCCCTTGCACACCCATTCTGCTCCTGCTCACTGAGCCTAGAGGAATTCTCTCAAGGTCTGCTGAGGATGTTCCTAGCAGTGACCCTTGTGGGGTAGGGAGGGGAGCCTCTGCAGTGGGAGAATGGTCAGGTAACATGGTAGAATGGAGAACAGCATTGGCAGGGAGCACACCATGAAGCAGCAAACTAAGAGAACACAGAGTGATACAGATGGGCCTAAAATCCACATTTGGAAAGGGAAAGGTTAAAAAAAAGTTAAATTGATAGCTTTATCAATTTAACTTTAGCATAACTTTAGCAATTGATTATGCCATATATGAAAATTAAACATGCATGCATACAGAAGCATAATACACAGTTTGAAGAATGTATATGAATAAAAAGATATATATTAAGTACAGCAGAATGTTCACCTATGGAGTGAGGCATGGAAGTGAGAATCAGGGAATACGTCATGCATGCATGTATACACAGCTACACACATGAAACAATACAAGGTGAGTTAATAACTTGAGGATGTGATTAAACCCAAATCTCTTCACTGCAGATAAAAATAGAGAGAACATTAGACTCCATGGCTGAAAATTATTTTTTGGAGTATGTGTCTAGAGTCAATTGACCTAAACATCTAATGTGCTCACCTTCACAAAGTCCCAGGGCCAACGTGTCTCACCCCAATGATGCTGCCTTTCTCCACTCATAACACATAGGGAAGAAGAAACACAACAGGAGT